ACTAGTGTTTTGTGTTACTTTGAAAGGTTTCAATAGCTATGGCTTGCCTGCTCCTTTAACAGTAGATTACAGGAATCCTCCTGCCACATTTGTTAATCCCAATTACCAAGAGAGCCAAAGCTTTCCTCAGGGTGAGTACAGAAAATTTGTGGTAATTTTCTTTTTTACAATAGGGTACATAATTAATGACTGATAATTAGCTTTTTATTGGCTTCGGATTTGTGTTAACTTTATGTCATTTATTGCTATTTTTAAAGAGATTTATTGTAGCCTGGGCTGGTAGTATTTTAGTCTAAGGAATACATTTTTGTAGGTAATTAAACTGCCAGCTGCATTTGTGCGTGATTAACACTAAGTTGCCATTTTATGTAGCTGATATAATTAATCAGTACTTGATCAGATAAGAGGTCAATGGGATTGCAGCACTTACAAAAATATATCCGAGATTACCAATTGATTCTGATGGCTTAAATTCTACAGGTGATTTTAGAATTTGTCAGTGCTGCTAATTTATCAGTGTCTATATAGTGGACACAATGAGATTGGTTGAAATTTTACTTTAGTCCTCTTTCACTTGGTTTCTCATTTAAAGGACAGTACATGGTAACAATGGATGCATTATATGAGAACGATCCTTCGCAGTTCTCATATACGTCTCATAACCGCAGTTCACACATATGTTTCATATGTTTGTTGTTGAATGGATGCATTGTTATCATCATGAGTATTTCTTGTGGAATAACAACATTTTTTGTCTGTGTTCTACTGAAAGGTTTCATTAGGCATGAGCAGTTGCCTTCATTAGTGAATCAGAGTCAGTCATCACCTCAAGTCCCTACTTGGACTCATCCAGTACCTAGTTACCATAGTAACCACACGCAGGGTAGGTTCACGGATAAATTTGCATATTCCCTTTTGAAATATGATCCGCATGCCTATTTTGCATGGGGTCTGCTAAATCTGCGAGTCATGTGAGCCACGGTGCAAGCCATTTTTGCAAGTATTTTTTTTTCTTTGAATTGTCCAGGGTCTGGGAGGTCGTCGATCATTTCGCACCCGACTATCACTCAACTATCGCTATAAACTACCCACCCGCCATCTTGAACGTGAAGATGATCCTGGAGATGAGTATAAACGGTACTCGCTCCCAGGATACTCTCTATTTTCCTGGGAAATTAATTTTAAATTAATTTTATCTACAAAAGTGCTTAATATTGAAAAATGCCCAGAAAAAATCCTAATCTCCCTTCGGTTGCCAGAACTGTTGCCGGTGTGTCAAATATGAAAACACTCAAAACATCTGTACATCGTGCCAAGTCTTGTGTCATAGTAATGGCTCTCCTAAGTTGGACAAATTTTCTTCTTTGTTTCATATTATTTTTTGTTATTTAGAGAAATTTTTATCCATTCAAATCACTCAGGATCTGCAAAAAATAAAAACGATGCAACAAAAATTAATTGAGGTTGAAGGCTTAAAGTGTATATGACACGAAATTTTTTTTTTCGTTAATAGCTAGTTCCATGTGTATAATAAACGGTTTGAGATTTTAAAATGAATGAAACAAATTTTTTGGTCGATTTTTAGCCCCCGAAACATGCTAAATTTATGCGTAAAGTTGTTCCCGGAGACTGGGGCGAGAATTGGACTCGTGACGTCAGGTTGTTTGATCCTTTGATTGGCAAGGTCAACAAATATCAGTGTTTTCCTTGTAACACGCTGTGATTACTCGCTTAATTCTATCGTTTCACGCTTCGAAATGTCCAGCGATTCCGAGAGTATTGAGTCGTCTGACTCTATAGAGAGTATGGATTGTGGAATAAGCGACAGTTCTGAAGAGGAATGGGGAGTTATCACTGGTGTGATAGCTCCATATCAAGTTCAAATGGGTTGTTATTCATTCAAGAGAAAAGAGAACAGTACTTCCGGGGCAACTCTTGTGTATTGGTGTCAAGAATGGTGAGTAAGTGGCGTAATTTTAACAGCTTTGCTCTTTAGTGAATCAGAGTTATCAAAACTCTATCAAGTAAAAATTCTTAACATTTTGACTGTGGCTCGCATGACTTGCACGACTCGCCCCTTGACTCACGTGGCCCACTGGCTCACAGGTTTATAAAACTCATTTGCACACATGTGAAAATATTAAGCAATTTTTATCTTTCATCTTGATTTTTGGGGAAAAAATTAATGTGCACATATCGCTTTTTTCGTCGGAAATAAGTTCTTTAATAAGTCTTCTTTCACTGGAGTTTGTCTTTGGGAAAACATGATTTTTAAAAATTTACTACACATTGTGTTTGTCTTCCTGGTTTCTCCAAAATTTTGACTTTTCATAGGCACATGTTACACATAGGTGTCAATGGGTTTATGTCATTTTTCTTTTTAAAGATTCCTTTGGTTTTGGACTACCAGCCAGCTCAATTCGGCCAGATCCTGTGAACAAGAGAGGTCTGTTTAAGTCTTCTTGATAATGATGTTTATGAATACTGAATGGGGATTAGTAATCATATGTCTATCACTTAGCATATTGTCGCGTTCCCGATGCCGCAGATACGTGGTGTTGTGCACCGGAGTTTGCCAGTATAACCACAGTGTTGAACTTTAGACAAGCAGCAGCATCAGACTCTTTATTCACTTAAGCTGGCAGTCTTTGTACAGCACAGGCGGTAAAAACTATAGAACGGATACATGAAGGTTCGATATGAGGAAAACCGAAAGACTACGAAACTAGAAATGATAAAAATGAGAAATATTACAAGCGTAACTTACATTGGATCTTGACTCTGGGGTAGAGAACTCCTAAACTTCGTTCGGCTCCGAAATGCTTTCGCTACAGTGACTCCTCACAACTGAGCTACTTGCTAATAGAAGGTGAATTTAGTTCTTACACTTTGACGTAGGGGAAATAGAAATGAACAGTGCTTTTTGTAGCTAGCTTTGAGTGGATATTCGCTAGTCACGGAACAGAAATCAAACCAAGCGCGCTAACAAATTAAATTAAATAGAAAGTCATTGAGAGTTTCTTAGTGTCTTTGTGCTAAAAACGGAAGAGTTACATAAGTAAAAAAGATTAGAGTTCGTATCCGTAAATGTGACACATATTGTGTAGTTTCTTTGTGACTCTCTTCATTTTTATACGGGACAGGAAAATGTTTTATATTTAATGCACTTAGTGGACAAATTGACAAATTGATGGACAATTGACAAATTTGTTTTCACAGACACTTGACAATGTAAAACACTGTGAATCAAAACTTCTCATTTGTAGTATTTTGTTGAAAAAGGTTGTAACTAGAACATGGCATCATACATGGTTTATTTCTTTATCATCACTGTGATGATGTTTTTTTTTTTTTTTTAAGTTTCCTCAGGTTTTACCTGGCCATCCTCATCTGTGAGTAATAGACATGTGCCTTCTCAAGTGGCCACTCCCCTCCCCAAAGAACCCAGTTATGAAACACTTGGTTATACAAGTAAGTAGGCTAAAAAATTATACTGCCCTTCCCCAACTGTATCTCTGAGGATAAAAGCCACATTTACATGAAGTGACACATTTTTCTAAATAACCATATAATTATATTCACTTCAACTTTATAAACGTTGTAAAGAATGAAAAGGTATAAAGTAAAAAACGTGGACATGATTAACTCAGATAACTTGAATTACACCTTGATGAATATTAAAAGCAACTTTACAGGAATGTGTTGTATAAACAAAAGTTATCTTCCTTGCTTGTCAGTGCATTTGTTAGCAATCAAAGGTGATTCAATACAAGTCTTCTACCTACCAGGCATAAGGTGTTTTTCAGTATTTCACTCCCTTGAGTGAGTATGCTCATTGATTTCAAGGAGGAAAAGAGACTTTCAATTAGAAAATAGTGAGGTGAACATGTATGATGTCTTTAAAAGTGAGGGTGATGTGATTGTGCTTGTAGAAGGAAGTCCTGGAATTGGAAAGACAACATTCTGCCTCAAAATAGCCTATGATTGGGCTCATGACCCCATTCCTAAGGAGTTCAACTTTCCACAATTTGAAATTGTCTTATTGCTGAAATGCCGAGATATTGTTGGAGACCTATTCGAAGCCATTACTGAACAACTGTTACCTAAAGATACTTATGAATGCTTCTGCAAAAAACTTATGGAGTTCATCAAGGATTTTCATTTTCAACCTAAAGTGTTGATAATTCTGGACGGTCTGGATGAGCTTCCAAAAGTATCTGAAAGCTACGTGGATGACTTACTCCGTAAAAAGGTTTTGCGATTTTGCTATGTCTTGGCTACAACTCGCCAGGAAAGAGGAATTGCTGTACGACAGAAGGTGAACTTTGACATGCTTTTACAGATTGAAGGCTTTACAAGGAAAGATGCCTTTGATTATATCAGAAAGTATTTTAAAAGTGCTGGTTCTGAGCATATATCCACTGGAGAGAGACTTATCATACAAATCGAAAAAAACACTTTACTTGATGCGCTGTGGAACAATCCTCTAAACTTGTTACTCCTTTGCGTTGTGTTTGAGGACTACCAGGGAGAACTGCCATCTTATCGCACTGAACTTTACCAGATAATTGTTTCTTGCATTCTACGGAGATATTGTGCCAAGCATGATCTAGAGGCTCCTCTTGTTGACAAAGCTCTAGTTAGGCTCTTTGAAGACAGTTTGCTAGTTCTTGGAGAGTTAGCTTGGAGATGCCTGGAAAAAGATCGATTTTCTTTTTTTGAAAAGGAGTTGGCAGAGTTTGAAACTAAAAATGTGAATCTAGCAGCACGGGAGCTTGGCCTTGTATTCAAGGAAGCCAGCTTAAGGAAGATAAACCCACAGCACGAGTATTTCTTCTTTCACAAGACATTTCAAGAGTATCTGGCTGCATTATATTTAGCTAACAAGCTATTGATAAAAGAGGTTGATTTTTTTAAGTCGCATTTACGCTTTTACCCAGATATGGTAGAGAGCTACCGACAAGTGTTCATCTTCATGTCTGGCATACTGGGTGAAGATGCTTGTCTTCTTTTTGAACAGATTGGCAAGAAGCTAAAAGAAGGAAACTGGGACTGGCACCAGTGCGCTGAAGAAGAGGCCACTTTCTTTGTTGAATGTTTCAATGAGAGTAGAAATGGTGAACAAGTGGCAATAGCTCTTTCTTCCTTTATTCCGTTTCCACAGACCATGACCTTTGACCTCTCAGATGGGGATATGAACACAGATATTTCCATTGTTTTCAAAGCCTGTGGGAGTTTTTCACAGTTGCAACTTCCTGTTCATCTGTCTTTATATGGGGAAGTTCCTATCGACGAAGATGGTGCCGCACCAGCTGACGCACTATCTGACATCGTAGCACCCAACACACAGCTACAAACACTTTCCTTTTCTGGTTGTGTTTCAGAAGAGATTACAGCTCTTTTGTGTAAAGCACTCACAGTAGACTCCACTTTACATTCCTTTACACTTGAGACAACTGAATGGATTTCTTCCTGTGAAGTTGTTGATATCAGTGACAGCTTGGCTGCAAATAAAACCCTAACAACTGTAACTTTAAAATTGCCTCATGAGGTGTTAAAGAGTTGCATAGCCATACTTGACAAGGGACTATCTGCAGAAACGCCACTGACATCTTTTGTACTCGAGATTTTTGGTTCATGGAGGGAAACTGAAGCAGAAGATTTTAGAAAGATTTTATTGAACAGATCACTTATGTCTCTGAGCCTTACTCTGTTTGGAGACGTGCAAGATTCATTAATAACTTCTCTTAGAGAGGGACTTGTGGCAAATCCTTCAATGAAGTCCCTTGCACTGACATTTTATGGAAAACTCAGCAACACTGGTGTGGCTTTGTTAAAGAATGGCTTTCTAGGAAACAGGTCTTTGGAGTCTCTGGAATTAAAAGTGTTTGGTGAGCTTCCTACAAACTGGGCAAATATTTCTAGGACTCTCCACTCTGCAGTAAAGTCAACTA